AATGCCAATTATCCAGAATATATATATATATAATATAAAAATAATATAAGTGTTGGCGAGGATGTGGAAGACAAAGTACACTTATACATTGTTGATGGGACTGATAATTAGTACAACCACTCTAGAATGCAGTATGGAGATTCCTCAAAGTATTAGGAATGGAACCATCATATGATCCAGCTGTCCTACTCTTCACCATATATCCAAAAGATCTAAAATCAGCATACTATAGGAATGCAAAAAATCTAAAATCAGTATACTATTGGGATGTAACCACATCAATGTTTATATCAGCACAATTCATAATAGCTAAACTAGGTGCCCATCAATAGAAGAATGGATAAAGAAAATGTGGTATATATACACAATGGGTATTGCTCAGGTATAAAGAAGAATAACATTAAGGCATTTGACTAGAGATCTATAATAAGGTATTTTGGAAATTTCACAAAATGTGAAAATCAAACAACATGCTCCTGAATGKGTCAAAAAAAGAAAAAAAAGGTTGGGGGGGGCGTTTAAAATATCTTGAGGCAATTAAAAGAAAATACAACATAATGAAACTTATGGGGTGCTGCAAATGTAGTTCTGAGAGGGAAGTTCAAAATAATGAGTGCATGCCTTAATAAAGAAGAAAGATCAAAGAAATAGGCTAATATTATGCCTCAAAGTTGCAGAAAAAGAAAAACAAACTATGCCCCAAATTATCAGAATTAAGGAAGTAATAAAGATCAAACAGAAATAAATCAAATAGAGAATAGAATAACCATGGAGTGAAATTGATAAAAGTGTTATTTAAAAAAAATTATTGGTGCATAATAATTATATACAATAGTGGGATTCATTGTGACATATTCATACAGGCACATAACACAACTTTATCAATTTCATTCCCCACTACTTCTCTTGTCCCTCTTCTGCTCCCTTCCCATGACCCCCTCCCTCTACTTTCTGTTTTCATAAGATCTCTTTTTTATCTCTTTACCATCTACACCAAAGAGAAAACATATGATCCTTGGATTTCTGAGTTTGGCTTATTTTCACTTAATATGATGTCTATAATTAACATAACTCCATTCTTCTTTATGGCTGAGTAAAACTCCATTATGCATATATACCACATTTTCTTTATCCACTTATCCATTGATGGACAGCTAGGCTGATTCCAAAACATGGCTATTGTAAATCATGCTGCTATAAACAGAGGCATATATGTATCTATAGATTATGCTAATTTTAATTATTTGGATAAATACTGAAGGGTGATATAGCAGGATCATGTGTTGGTTCCACTCCTAGTCTTTCGAGAAATTTCCATACGGATTTCTGTAGTGGTTGTACTAGGTTCCTATTGACAGCCTGTAAGAATTCATTTCCCTCTGCATCTTTACCAGCATTTATTGTTATTTGTAKTTTTGATGGCTGATTCTAACTGGAATCAGATCAAATATCCATGTAATTTTAATTTGCATTTTCCTAATTGCTGAATATGTTCAACATTTTTTCACATATTTGTTGGTCATTTGTACTTTTTTTGAGACATGTTGGTTTAGTCCATTCACCCATTTATTGATTGGCTTATTTATTTATTTTTGGTGTTTAGATTTTTTTAAAATTCTTTACATATTCTGGATATTAATTCTCTGTCAGAAAAGTAATTGTCCAAGATGATTTCTCATTGTGTAACTTCTCTTTTCACCTGAGAGTGGTTTTCTTTGCAGTGCAGAAGCATTTTAGTTGGATGATGTCCCAATTATTGATTCTTGGGTTTGTCTTGAGTTTAGGCGTCTTGTTGAAGAAGTTGATGCCTGGATCCATGCATTAGAAGAAGGTTGGGGTAGAAGGAGGGGAGGGAAAGAGGTAGCACTGGGAAATGAAATGGAGCAAATTGTTATATGCTTGTATTATGTGTCACAATCCCACTATTATGTATAGTTCTAAGCACTAATTAAAATTTTTTTTAAAGAGTCGGAAGCAGAAGTAGGAAATTTTAAATAGATTTTTGAGCAGTGGCCTTCCTAAAGGAAGGTGGCTTGGTAATATTTATCAAAATTTCAAATGTACTTATTCTTCAATTCATTAATTGAGTTTGTACTTACTCTACTCCTTGATGTCTATTCTACTGATATTATTCATGCATGTATACAGAAATGGCAATATTATAACGTTTATTAAGCATTATATAAATATATAAATTAGAAATAACTAAAAATATGTCAATAGGGGTTTGTTTAAATAAGTTATGGTACATATATGAAGACTTTTTTTAAAAGTGATTTAGAGCTGTATGTGTTAATGTGGAAAAATGTCCAAAGTAATTTCCATTAAAATATTCTAAAGCAAATTGCATGGAAATGGAAGGAGACCCTCAGGGTTATACAAAATTACATACAAGAGGAAGTGAGGGGAAAGGGAAAAATAATACAAGGGGGAGAAATGAATTACAGTAGAGGGGGTAGAGAGAGAAGAGGGGAGGGGAGGGGGGAGAGTAGAGGATAGGAAAGGCAGCAGAATACAACAGACACTAGTATGTCAATATGTAAATCAATGGAAGTGTAACTGATGTTATTCTGCAATCTGTATATGGGGTAAAAATGGGAGTTCATAACCCACTTGAATCAAAGTGTGAAATATGATATATCAAGAACTATGTAATGTTTTGAACAACCAACAATAAAAAAGCTATCAACCATAAAAATAAATAAATAAATAAAATATTCTAAAGCATTTTATTTAGTTGTCACAAAATATTTTTTAATATTCTCTTTCTGCATGACTATATGAATGGGCATGAATAAAAAGGGCTGGATGCATACACACCACCCTCTTAACAATAGTTAATTTTTGTTATGGTATGGATCTGGAATGTAACCCAAATCTCATGTGTTAGTAGGTACAGCAACATCAGAAGCAGGGCTTTTAAGAAATGATTGAGTCATGAGTGATATAAACTCATCAGTGGATTAGTAATTTGAAGGGACTACTGGGTGGCTGAAGGAAGCAGTTCACGGGGGATGTTAGGGACAGTATCTGTCACTGGTCCTTGCTCTGTTTCCTCATTGCCACGAGATGAGCAGCTTTCCTCCAGGACATTCTGCTTCACCTCAGGCCCAGAGCAATGGGATCAGCTGACCATGGACTAAGACCTCTGAAACCATGGACTAGAATAAAACTTTCTTTTATAAGTTATTCTTTTCTTCATAGCAATGAAAAGCTGACGAACAAAACTTTGAACAATGGTATTTTGGGGGAAGAGCATATGGCATCTTGATGAAGAGAGGTTTCTATATTTTTAAATTTTTTTCTAGAATATATTCAGGTCTTACTTGTGTAATTTAAAATGAATAAAGGAAATGTGGTGATATTTTAAATATAAAATGTCAAATTAATAAGTAGTTACTGTGTGGTCATTATACCTGCCAAACATTATATTTCAATTGACAAATGACAACTGTCTTTATCTTCTGGCATTAAGCCCAGAAAAATATATTATTTAGCATTATCAAAGACGTAGATACATTTTTTGAATACCAAATTTTATCTGAATTCCATTTTGGACAAGAAGGTTCCCCAGTTGTTATCTATTGTTCATTGCTTTATTGCAAAAAATAATGTCAACATGGGGGCTGGGGCTGTGGCAGTAGTGCACTTGCCTGGCATGTGTGAGGCACTGGGTTCAATTCTCAGCACTGCATATAAATAAATAAAATAAAGCTCTATCAACATCTAAATTTTTTTWAAAAAAGAATGTCAATATTAAGCAGAATTTTTTAACCCTTCTATTTTGACCCAAAGATATTTCAACACCTTTAATCCTACATATTTATCCTATATAGTTCACTCATTGCTACAAAAATATACTCTCAATCTTATTTTCAATTCATAATAAATGTTAGGGAGAAATAAACAATAAGACTCTCACAAGGTAAAACTACATTTAGAAATTTATGAACAAAATGACAAAACAAACAAATCTTGAAAAATCTTTTTTTGTTTTGTATTGTCTTTTTAGTGTTAAGGATTGAACCCAGGGCCTCACACATGCTAAGCATGTGTCCTACCACTTGGCCACACCTCCAGCCAAATCAAATATATGTTTGTGTATGATATTATATATATATATATATATATATATATATATATATATATACACACACACACACACACACACACACATATATATGTGTGTGTGTGTGTAATATGTGTGTGTGTGTGTATACACATATGTTAGACTTGGAAAATATTAAATCAAAGTAAAACAACTAACAGTTGCAGAAGTTCTTGGTAAGACAAAACCAAAATGGAAAAAATAAACTCTAAAAGTCTTAATATAGATTTGTATAAAAAGGAATGAATCCTGATGAAAAAAAAATTTGGAAAAATAAAAATGAAAATATAGAGGTTTAAATATTTTTGCCCAGTGTAGAAAACTGATCATGGAGTTAAATTGACAACTATATTGCAAATAACCTGGGGAAAATTTCATCAATGAAAATTTACCAATATGGATGATAAGCATTTTAAAAATCTACATATTCTTATAAAAATATTTATGTTCATAAGCACAGCATCATTTTAGGGGCTCTGATATCCCTCTGCACAATTACCTTTTGGCAGTGGCCCAGTGCATAACTATGGTCATATTATATTACTAATTTATATTATAGCACGTAGCACAGTGTGTGCTGTGGAGTTTTCCAGCTCTGCCCTGGCTGGCTGCTAATTCTCCTCGCAGTGGTCAGTGGGACTGGCATGGACACACTCCTCTGTCCTCTGTTACAAGTCTTGAGATCTGAAAGTCAGATGAGCATAATTACCAGGCTTAGGTGGCAGTTTAGATGCTCTGGTAAATTTGTTTTTAGCTACTTCTTTCTCATTTATCACACGGGTTGATAAATCACAATTATGAAAACAAACTCCATATAGAACCAAAGGTATTTATTCCAAAATTACAAGGAAGGAACTTTATTATTATATATTTAAGTTTGATTTTTGTCCTTTGGTTTCCAGCAAAATAGAAGGCATAGAATATATGTGTAATGTACAAAAGCTAAACCTTGCAGAAAATGAAATTGAGCATATTCCAGTATGGCTAGGAAGAAGTTGAAATTTTTTCGAGTCTTCAATCTGAAAGGCAACAAGATATGATCAGTAAGTTATTCAAAGTAGTAAAAATTTTTCCAAATTTTAAGGTTCATTGAAAAAAGATTTTAAAAACCTAAGATTTTTAAGAATGATATTTCTCCTTTTTTCTATTGACCAAAATCCAAATTCAAATATAATGTAGAATGCTCTAGAGTAATTAARTACAGTAAGTTCACATTTTGCATAGGCTCCACAATAACTAAGAGTTGATCTCTTAGCATTTTCCCATTTATCATTTCATTCCATTCCCATTTTACAAGTAAACATTCAGAGAGGTTAAGTTACTTATCCACACAGCTTGTACCAGAATTCAGATTATTGAATGCCTAGAAGAGTTCTTTTGTTCTGACTATATAACCTTATAGTAACTATATCACATATAGCAGTTAATCTTGATTATGCCATTAAGTGTTAGAGGAAGTTCACTAACAATTTTGTTGTCCTAGTTCACATAATTAGATAATGATGTGTATTTTTCTCTGGATTATGATTTATAATTTTCTTCTGGCATCTATTTATAAGTTAGCTGTTCAATAAGCATTTTCTAAGTAAAAATATTATTTAAGTTCTTTTTAAGATTGAAAAGGTCATGCTAGAATTTAAAGAACATCAGTCATAAAATAGAAAATTAAAGAAGTGACTTCAAGTATCAGCCTAGACTTTCCTTATGTGACCTTAGAGAACTCTTTAATCCCTCTAAAATTCACTGTGTTGATTGGAGAAAATAATCATGTACTGCTTCTTTTATAGGAATATTATAAGGCTTAGAGAAAATGTTATCTGTGAAATGCTTTAAAAACTTTTAAATACTAAATACTAAGGCTGTGTTCCTTAAACTTTCATCCGTAGAGGCCAAAAATAATAAGCAACATTTGTTTAATACTGTGATATTAACAATATCTATGCTTCTTTATTTCATCTTCATAAAGATCTAGTAATGTGACTCTCTTACCATTCCACTCTGACAATGTGAGAGTGGAAGTCTCTCCAAGAGTCTCAGACCCAAGGCTCACACCATGCTGTAGAGTATCAATTTGAGGTCTTGGATCTTATGGGATAAAGGAAGAGGAAGCCATGAATCTAAATTTGCCATAAATATACAGCAAAGTAGTTAATCCTTAGGTAGTAACAGTCAATCCTGAGAACAGGAGTAGCATTTGATCAATATTTATTATTTCTGATTTTACATAATGGTCTCATTCCAGCTTATATTTGACATAGGCATCATTAATAGTGATGCACATTCACTTAGGAGAGAAAACATGTCTCTGTATGAGGTATTTGGAGTAGTTTTTTTCCCAACCCTTTTCTCTTTGAATAAACATGAGAACTGAGAACTGTACTTCAAAACCTATGCCTTTTAGCCATAAATTACAGCTCAGTTATTCTGAAGATTAATAAAATCCTTTTTATATCCATTTTTCAATTTGTTCAATCAGTATCATGAAAAGATAAAACCTTTAATGTAATGTAGACTTGAATTCAAATCCTGTTGCATTCACTTAGGCTCTGAGCTTTGGGAAAGTCACCTGATTTTTTTGAATCTCACTTTCTTCATCTGCTAAGTGAAGATGATATTTCCATCATAGGTCGTTGTGAGGAGTGACAAATGAAGTGGCATACGGAAATGTCCAGCACTGTCCTGATCAGCTGAACGCTTACTTCTCTCTTTCTGTTCTCTTCACACTACTACTTTTGAGCCCTGGGTTCCATGAACAGGTTTCTTGCCATGTTAAGAGAAATTTCCTTTATTTGTTATTTCCCTTTGGTAGTTTATTATTTTTAAAGTAAAATATACCAATGCTACTGTTATGTCATTTCAGCTTCAGGATGTCAGCAAGTTGAAACCACTTCAAGATTTGACTTCTCTGATATTAGTTGAAAATCCAGTCGTGACCCTTCCTCACTATCTCCAGTTTACCATTTTCTACCTGTGTTAGTTGGAAAGTTTGGAAGGTCAGCCAGTAACTACTCAGGACAGGGAGGAGGCTTTTGAGAGATTCAGTTTAGGTAAGATGACAGTTTAAAAAACTGAATTTGAATGAGGAAAGAATTTGTTTTCAGAACTTACCTAGAAAAAATGTATTATAAACTTTCTGATGACATTACATTTGCAGAGATGCCACCATAAATCAATTAATTTAATTGAGCATATTCAGTGCACCAGGCACTGCACTTGACACTAAGGATACAATGGTGAGCAAGACACTTGGTGCTGGCCTTCATGCAGCTTATGGTTTTGTGGAACAGACAAAAAGCAGTTAAACCCAGGTAAAGCAACAGAGGGGAGCCCTGTTGTGGTGCAGAGTGGTGTAAAGGAGTGACTTCTTGAGGCAGTGACATGGAAGCTGAAGGCAAGGGGAGGAGAGGCCAGCCATGTGAGGAATGGCACTCAGGGAGAGGGGGAAGCTGGTTCTCTGGGGTTATAAAGACCCTAGTGGGGTCAAGCAACTGAAAGATCAGTATGACTGGAGGAGTGCAAGAAAAAGTTTGGAGAGAAGGGGGAGGTTAGAGATGGAACAGGGCCTTGTGGTTTGGATTTTATTCTAGCTGCAGTAAAAAACCATGGGCAAGTTTTAAGCAGGGATGGGCCAGGAACAGGCTCTATATTAAGGAGCTCATTTTGGATGCAGGTTGGAGAATGATTTGGAGCAGGGCAAAGAGGAGATGGAGGGGCATGTTAGGAAGAGCTATGACAGTTATGCAGGCTAGAAGTGTTGGTGGCCTGTGCTTAGGCGATAGATGTGGAAATGAAAAATAGATGGATCACTTTTAATGGTAGAATCCGCAGCACTCTCTAATGGAGTGGGTAAATCTCAGGCTTCTGGCTTAATTGGCTTAATTAGGCGGTGATATCATGTAGAAAATGGGGATAATTCAGAGTTATCTTTAGGACATGTTGAGTTTGAATTATCTGTGAGACAACCAAATACAGAGTTAGAAATATGAGTCTGGAGTTTGAGGTTCATTCATTTAAAACAAAGAGAAAAGGGATGTATTTTGCATACATAGTCTGAAAATTTGAAATGTTTAGCTCTAAAATCTGTATAAAATTCTTTCAGACTATTTTGAATATAACATGTATATAAAATATAAATGAATTTTGTGTTTAGAATTGGGTCCAACATCCAAGATAACTCATTATGTAATTGCAAATATTGGAAAGTCTTAAAAAATCCAAAATCTGAAATATTTCTAGTTTCAAGAATTTTGGATAAGTGAGACTCAACCTGAATAAATTTGATAGTCATCTGCTTAAAAATGATACTTAATTCCACGTGAACTTTTTAAAAATCTAAAAATTCACCAGTAGTTTTGTAATGCCAGATTCGTGGGATCCCAATAGACCTCCAGGAGCCAAATCCGATGCAAGCACACAAGAGTCTTTATTGCAAGCTTGAGCCTGGACTCACAACCRTTTCCGATGCAGCCATCCAGGGAGTGAGTCCAGGTCCTTTGTCCAGTGAGATTTTATAGGTTTTGGGGGGATACTCTATGTGTCACAACATCACACAGCAAATCATTCCATACCACAGGAAAGTCAAACAGCAACTCTTAACATTGATTAGCACATTCAATGGTGAGAACAAGTTGTGTAGGGGTAATTGGTTCGTGCAAGAGGGGGATTCCTTTGAACTGATTGGTTTAGGCCATGAGGGGTGTACATGCTAAACTACATGGTTTCCCAACATGTTATCAACCACCATAAACTACTGGGGGGGGGGTCATCTGGCATCCCAGGTATTTTCCCTGTCTCATGCTGATTGGTGGTTGCTAGGGGGTTGCTATGGGTCYTCAACTAGCCTGAGTCAGGGACACCTGGCACCACAGATCTCTCCTATTATTTGCAGACAAACAACTCAGCAGGGTGGGTATGTGCTTAGGAGTGCTCTGTGGTTTTTCTCAGGACAAGGGTCATGCCTCCTTCCTTAGGACAGGCCTTGAGGTAGAAGCTGGTTTCTCAAAAATGGAGTCACATCAGTTTCTCAGTTTCTATACCAGGAAATGGGCAGAAACAACAAGTAGTTAACCTCAAACCAGTAGCAAATAAATAAAGAAATGAAATACCCAACAGCAGAGTGAAGAACAAATCATACCTCAATTGTTTTGTCCTTGAGAATATCAGAGGGTGGGATTAGAGAAAGAGGAGGGAATACTTTCTCCTTCAGAAAGGAGAGATGTGCAAATCACGGGTAGTTTTGTTCCTTTGGTGTTGGGAAAATAAGAGTTTTCCCATGGATAGGGTCTGTTTTCTCAATAAAATGTGAGGTCTTCAGCTCAGAAAGAGACTCAAAGAAATATGGAAGGTTTGAGGAAAAAGAGGAAGATATGAAATCACCATTTTAGAGTATTGGGTAACAAGCTGGTATGTTCAACCACTTGGAATTGATGTTAGTTCACTTTCAACCTACAAAAAACATCAGTTTCATATTGTTTGATCCAATACTTCAGAAATATAGTAAATTTTTGTTAGTTAAGACACCCCCCCCATACACACACACACAACTCTACATTTTTTTTTCTAAAGTTTGTTTTGGAATCATTAAAAATTTAAATAATTTAAAGCAAAGTCATCATATAATATACTGTTGGAAGAAATGTTTCAACCACTTATGGCTCATTCATGACTTCAGACTGTAATTAGGAGCCTTTAATGTGATGGGCTCTTAGGACCCAGTGGAGACCAGGTAGATAGAGTTTTTGGTCTCCTGAAGTTTTAGGAGGCAGGCAGATAGGATGTTACAACTCCCTGTGTGACAAAGGCCAGAGCATAAATTCAGGGTAGCATGGGAGCCTCCCTGAGAATCATCTAACCTGGGTAGAGGAGAGGGTCAGGGCAGGCTTCTCCAAAAGGTTTGTAAAGCTCAAGACCTAAAGGATGCAAAAGAGACCTAAAGGAAATGTTGGAAGACAGGCAGGTCCAGACACAGGGTGTGAATAAGCCTTCAGGGGCAAGAGGTATTGTCAGTATAAAGAACAAAGTCATTTCAGGAAAGCTGCAGAGGTATGCTTAAAGATAAGGTTCAAGAGGGAGATTGGGACCAAATCATGAAGATCCCATGAGAACTCTTATGGAAGCTTTTTGATTTGTTTATTTGTTTTCATTGCTGGAGAAAAACTCAGGGCCTCATTTATACTAGGTTAGTACTCTGTCACTGAGCTATATCCCCAGCCCTTTATGAAAGCTTTTTGGATCTTCTAAGAGTAATAGGAAGCCCTTGAAGGATTTTAAGATAATATAGTATGTAAACGTGTTTGCCATATCCTTGTAAATGTAATTACTTACATCAAATAAAACGATGTATTTTAAAGGGGATTGGAGGAAAACTCCATTTATCAATATAATAAAACAAATAAAATACTTGGAAATAAAGTATTATCTTTTTTAAATGTCATCCAAATACAAATAACAATGCCTTCTTGCCTCCTAGTATAGACCAGTTCCATGTGGTCTTTTCTCCCAAAGTCATGGTATGTAATTTTCAAAGTGGAACTGCACTATTCCTAGACTTCTTTTGCATTGTTTTATTTTAGAAATGTTCTTTACTTATTAAAAGGAGGAAATATAATGATGAATAAACAATTACATTTTTATTGACAGAAAAGTCAGAAAGAGACTTGGAAAGGAAGATGCTATAAACTGAAAAGCTTAAGAACAAACAAAATTCTTTAAGGGAATTCAAAATCAAAATAAGTTAAATCATTAAAAGAGGGGATCATGTGATACAATCCTTGAGGAGCTAGAATTTGATCTAAGCACACAAAAAATGAATTGGTAAGTCTGTGTTTACACTGCTTTGACTATGTTCTCATAAGGTAAAGAATGCTTTACCTTTGGCTCTAAGAAATACAACTTCCCAACCATAAAAAAGGGGAAATTTGCCGTTTAATATGTGCAAAAGTCTTTATAGACTGTAGTTGACTGTGAACTGTGTGATATGGCTGCCAGAAAAACCAGTGCTCTCTGTGGCTGCAGTATGTGAGGTAGGTATCCAGCACAATGGGGAAAGATGGTGCCCTGGTGAGACTGTTCCCAGTGTTTATATATTTTATATATATCTATATCTATCTATCTATATATCTATATCTATATCTATCTATCTATCTATCTATCTATCTATCTATATATATATATATATCTCAACAACATTGTTGGTGAGAGTGTACATTGGCAAAAAGTTTTAGAAGGCAATTTGGCAAAAATATCCAAATTTTAAACATAGAGCTCCTATGTCTCAGAGATCTCATTTCCAATAATATATTCTGTAGAAATGCTTGCAAGAATATGTTAAGATCATATATGTATGCTTGTATATGTATATGTACAAGTACCTATGTAACAGTGATGCTCACTACACCATTATTCATATGAGGAAAACTCCAAATGACTAAAAAGCCCCTCAGGGAACGTCCATGCTGTGGCATAGTATATTGCTATTAATAAAATGAGGTCGGGTTATATGGCCTGACTTGGAAGGATGTCAGACACACTTTACTATATGAAAAAAAAGCAAGTTGTAAAACAGTAAATAAAGTATTATCCTATATACATAAATGCACAATAGTGTAAGGATATTTGGGGTGGGTAGGGGTGGCAGAATACAAACCAAACTCATAAAAGCAGTTATTTCTGAGGAAAATTATTGAACATTTTCAAATTGACCTTTATGCATATCTGTAATAACTAAAGTTTATACAATTTGACTTTATGGTTGAAACAGAGAAAAAGATATTGGAACAGAAAGATTTAGACGATCTAAATGGCGTAATTTGAGAAAAAAGCTTATAGAGAGGCTTCCAACGTCTTGGGACAAAGTTACAGGAAGAATGACCAAAGCAAAGGGGTGCTCAGGCTGGAGAAAAGGAAACTCAGTGAGCTTTGATAAATGCTCTCAGATATGCAAAGGACTGTGTAATATGGAAGAGAAATTAGAATTATATACCAAGGCCCCATGAGATCAAATTAATACCTAGTAAACAAAATTATAGGAAAACAAAGTCTGAAAAATTCTAAAACCACATTGAGTGTTCTATAAATTCTGAARATGTTTATTGTGGAAGAAACCGAAATAAGATTTTAACTTTTATAAGCACACTTCACCTTATGCTAGATTTAGAGCTTTTTGCTATATTTGGACAGTGTAGGTATAAACAGAATTTTCAATGATGGTAATGCCACAGCATCACAGAATGTTAGAACTCAAAGACRTACTCAGATATTTGGTCCAAGCTTTCTGCTTGGGGCTCACAGAGTATAGTCATTCACTGAGTCTTGGTTCTGAACTAGTGTACTCTGCTCTGTGCTACATCTCTTCAAATTCCCCAAAATTATAACAGATTTTCTGTGGGTATTTAGGAGCTATTATTTCTACTTTAACTACAGTGTGAAAACTGTCTCTCTTGGCAGTATAATATTACACAAAATTCCCTACATTAAACAGAATTCTTATAGAAAATGCCATACTTACGCTTCCCAAGCAAAAGGATCTCTTTATGTGAGGTGTTAGCTCGGTACTGGTTTGCGATGATACAACATTCTTTGAAAGCTCTGACACAGGCTGGACCTATGGTGATCCGTGTGGCCCGCTGCTCGCAGGTTTCTTCGTCATTACGGTGGGCTCCATCACAGCAACACTTCCTTGGCACTGGATGTTTGTATTTAGCAGCTAAAAGGGTAATAATGTAAGTGCCCTTGATCAGGCTGAGTCAGCATCTCAGGTTTAGAAGGAATCTCAAGAAATACTCAGTTTCTACTACCAAATGCTCCCCTTACCCACAGGAGCCACAGTTCCAGTGTGTCCTTGGAACTACAGTAGGATTAGGGAGAATGTGACCCCACCAGGTGGTCATCCCAATTCACACTAAATGGTTAAAGGGCTTCCTGCAACCAAGCTAACTACAAACTTTCGAAGCTGGAACTTTGGGTTCAGCAGCATTTGAGTATAAGTTAAATATCTAAGAAGCCTTTAAATATTTGAAAGTATATATTGTTATTATATAAGAATTATTTTCCATAAGCTAAATAGCCTTCTTTTTCACATATTCCTTATAGGATATGGTTTGTGGATGTCTACTAGTGCCATTATCCTTCACTGTAAGTGTTCAATCAACTTCTCTACTATCATATCATTAAAACAGAGAATAAAAACTAGAATTACTGTAACTAAGACAAACTAACACAAGCCTGTAGTCCCAGCAACCCAGGAGGCTGAGGCAGGAGGATGTCAATTTCAAGGCCAGCCTCAGCAAATTAACTCTGTCTCAAAATTTTTTAATTTGATATGGCTCAGTGGTAAAGCAGGCTTGAGTTCAATACCCAGTAATCTCCACTCAAAAAAAGAAGTATAATAACTCATATGCAAATAGAAGAAGTCATTATATTACTATAAGAATGACAACTAGCTGAACTCAGTCTACAGATTCCAGATTGATGTTCTTTCTACTTAACATGACTGATTATCATATTACAATTTAAATAATTCCCATTGGACTTATTTCCAAAGAATAATCCAGAATGTTATTAGCTATTAAATATATGAAATGGAAGAAATATATTTTTACATATATTCCAAAGTTAATCAAATCATGGATTTAAAAAATATATGTTTTTATTTGTAGATGAACACAATATCTTTATTTTATTTTTATGTGGTGCTGAGGATTGAACCCAGTGCCTCATGCATGTGAGGCAAGTGCTCTACCATTGAGCCAGAACCCCAGCCCCTCAAATCATGGATTTTGTCAGAATAAAATGGAAAAATATTTTAATTGTTAGATGGAGCTTGTAGAGAGAAAATATTTGTGATAAATTCAAATTAATAATTTACATTTTAGAGATAGAACTGATATAGACTTGTTCTCCTCATATTAAGATTATAGAAAATGAACTACTAGATTTATTTGGATTAATCTTTCTGAGGGAGGTGAGCTAGACATCCATATATATCTTTCTTCCCACCCATTTTATTTAAGTAAAATTACATAATATTTCATTTTCTCCAGTTTTTGAATATATGATACTGAAATGATCATATCATCATTTCAATGATGTAGAAATGTTCTACAACTACATGAAACTCTTAGAGTACCTTGTTCATTTATTCTCTGTTGCAGATTTCCTGATGACCTTAGCTTAATTTCTTTGCCAGCTTCATCTATTTAAAACAAAAACAAAAGATAGAGACAAAGAGAAAGGGGGCTTGATAAAAAAAAAGTTGCATGGAACTATTTAAAACATTCATATCATTCAATTATCGCCAATATGATCATAACCTTTTTACAATTACATGAAACTTTTAAAGTACCTGATTCCTGTATTTTCTGTTGTAGACGTTTTCGTGGCCTAAGAATTTCTCTACCAGTTTCATTTAAAACAAAAGCAAAAGATAGAGACAAGGAGAAGCAGGGGGAGTTAAAAATCTATTAAAAAAATTGCATGAAACTAAGTATTTAAAACATTCACAAGTCATTCACTTGAGAAACCTGTTCTGAAAGCCTGCTTCTGATTAAGCATTGGGAACTACACATCTTTTTATTATTTTTAAAATTTGTTCTAATTAGTTATACATGACAGCAGAATGCATTTTGATTCATTGTACACAATTATAGCAAAACTTTTCATTTCTCTGGTTGTACAAAATATGGTAGCATCTCACCATATGTGCAGTCACACATGTACCTAGGGTAATGATATCCGTCTCATTACACCATCTATCCTGACCCCATGTCCTCTTCCCACCCCTCCCTCCCCTTTGCCCAATGAAAGTTCCTCATTCTCCCCATGCCCCCCACCCATTATAGATCAGTGTCCACTTATCAGAGAGAACATCCAGCCTTTTGTTTTTTGGGATTGGCTTACTTCACTTAGCATGATATTCTCCAGCTCCATCCATTTACCTGTAGATGCCATGATTTTATTCTCTTTTAATGCTGAGTAATAGTCCATTGTGTATATATACCACAGTTTCTTCATCCATTCATCTGTTGAAGGGCATCTAGGTTGGTTTCACAGTTTAGCTATTGTGAATTGAGCTGCTGCGAACATTGATGTGGCTGTGTCATTATTGTATRCTGATTTTAAGTCTTTTGGGTATACGCCAAAGAGTAGGATAGCTGTATCAAATGGTGGCTCCAAGATTTTTAAGGAAGCTCCATACTACTTTCCAGATTGTTTGCGCCAATTTGGAGTCCCACCAGCAATGTATGAGGGTGCCTTTTTCCTCTACATCCTCATCAGCACTATTGTTGGATTCTGGATAATTGCCAGTAATTATGAACCATTCTAAAACCAAAGGACAGTGATTAAGATGTGGTCGCTGCCCATGAAGAGCCCACATGGCTGTGGGTGAGACAGGACTATAACTGAGTTTGAGGATATGAATGACCCAGTGCTGTCATGTTATAAATAGACCTGGTCCCTACAAGACCCTCCTATTAAAGCAGAAGGGAGTGATCAATTCTGTGTGGGGAAGAGGCCCCCCAGAAGAGAGGATTCTTCTACTTGCTTCTCCAGGCTAATAAAGGGGAAAGCAGTTCCCATGAGTAAAGGCCCAAAGGTATGAAGAGCACAGCAGCAGATCAGAGCTACACCTGGTGCTGTGTAGACAGGCAGGAACAGCAGGGTGAGAAATTGTTGGAAGACCCGGGAGAAGATCACAGAAGGTGTTGAGTACTATGCTAAAGAACTTGTTCTTTATCTTGAAGGCCACTGAAACACCTTATACAGGGGAGTTATGTAGTCACAGCATTCTAAGATCATTGTGGGGAATATTCTGGAAGAGGGACAAAAAGGAGAGTTGGGAAGCAAATGATCAAAGTCAATCTCAGTGATAAACGCAGGCTTTACCATTGTCTTGGGAGTCCTCTGCATTCGCATTGGTGAGGAAGGTGAGTCCAGCCAGATGAAACACATCTGCATTGTCTCGGCCACCACCGGCCCCACAGCCCAGGTCACTCTTCTCTAGAGCTTGGAATGCCTGTCCAGAAAGGCAAAAGGATGAGCTTCTTCAGGTGTGTGGAGAACTAAAGGTACTGGCCATTGAGTGGTTAGCGCAACCTGTGAGATGCACAGGGCACAGGTTTATCCAGGACAAAATCTCCCATCTCTATGCCTCAGTTTTGTGATTTTATAATTATAAATACATGCCTATTCAAAATTCACCCAAGACTGAAGATTCTTAGAAATTGACCCAAGGTGTTTTGTACATAGAATACATGCTGCAATCAATGTCTAAAACAAATGAATGAATAGGTGAAATCATGAAGGAGCGAATCAACAAGAAGAAAATCCAGTTGTGACATATAATTTGTGTCTCACCTGGAACTGATTGTCACACTTCTCTTCGACATTTAGGCAGACTGAGTCGGACACTAATTCTGCAGTCTGCTCTCCAATGACGATGTAATAGACCAGAAGTCGAGCTGAAGGAACCATGTTCTGAGTCACTGGGATGTTTATACTTTGATAAGAAGAATCTATAACTTTCTCTCTTGTGCCAAAGTGTACAATTTTGCCCCTGGATAAAATCTAAAAATAAACAGTGGCAGTGAAAATAAGTATAAAAACAAAACCTGTGCATCAGGATGAAGCTTGAAGAAAAAATTTGACATATGTGTATGTTCCAGTTCTTACAGTAGAGAAGCCAGGCATAGTCCCCCACTGGAGAATCTGAGGCTTAGAAACTGAGTAAAAGTCAGACTGATTTTAGTTCAAAATGACATATCTAGAAATTAGAGAGGAATTCAGCAAGATCCTGTCTCAAAATAAAAAATAAAAAGGACTTGAGGATGTAGCTCAGGGGTGGAGTGCTCTGGGTTCAATCTCCAGTACCAGGAAAAAAGAAGAAAACAAATAGATGCACTCGCCCTGGCCATGAATACCTATAATTACAGATACTCAAGGGGCTAAGGCAGGAGGATCACAAGTTTGAGGTCAGCATGGGCAACTTAGCAATATCTTTACTCAAAATAAATATGTTAAAAGAGGCTAGGGATGTAGCTTGGTGGTAGTGTACTTGCGTAGTATATGTGGACCCCAGGTTCAATCTTCAGTATCACCAAAATAATAAGTTAAATGTATCTTATTTGGGGATTCAGATTTTTAAACATAGATTATATTGTATATTGGAGGTTAGGGTTAAAAAATATCATGTAAAGTCAAAATGTCTTCAAAGATCCCTTTAACTGTTCATGAAAATGGTTTGTATTTATAAATGCAAAGCATCATTCTAAGGTTTCTCTATAAACCAAAGAACAAAATGTTCAGGGTGGGAAAATAAGATGAAAGTCTATCATTATTGTACTTACCAAGTAATTATACTGAGTTATTTTGTCAATATACGGACTTTTGGATGTAACAGTAATGTTCAGATATTCTCCTACTAGCAGAGGCTTATAGTTTCCAGTCCAATCAATATAAAGGTAACTTTGGCTGGGAGATGAGTATGCTATTGCTTGGTAATCTATGCTGGCCTGATTTTCTTCTGGAAGATCTGGGGCATCAGTTTTGACCTAAAAAGGAAAATTTCAAAAAGACACATGAATGGTGTGTCAAGCTTTTTGTAAAAACGTCTTTTAAATTCTTTACTTTTTCAATTTCTAAATTTCACAATTCCAAATGCTGAGGGGAAAAAAATCCTCTAGTACTCCAGTGTTTGTACAGCTGCAGTTTCAAGTAATTTTGTAAAGACTATGGTAAATAATGATGGGATTATGGGCCATGGTGGAAAAGTTTGGTGAAATGAAGAGAGAAAGATGCTCCAGGAACAAATACCAGCTCCCTTCCTGAAATACCACATGAGCTGGACTACTCTTTCTGGGGATGGGAGGGCAGGGACTGAGGGAAGAGAGGGAAAATGATGGGAGGTAGCACCAACTCAAGCACTGGAGGGCAGAAGTTATGAATGAACATCACAGACACCATCTTTGTGAAGTAATGATACAGAGGAATGCTCTTAAACACAGGTGGGACAGAAATGATATCGTGGCAGGAAAATCTGCCTTCAGACAGCAGAAAGATTACTAGCTTGTGATCTGGGGTCAGGTACACATTGGTTTGCATCCTGGTGCTGCCACTTATTAATTCTGGATAAGTTATTTGATCAAAACAGAGATCAAAACAGAGGTAGAAGTCTCCTTTCCTCTGACACAAAATGGCAAAGATGATATTTTCCAACTCTTACTGCTGATAAATGAATTTGTTCCTCAGAAATCTCTTAGCACAATGCCTAAGTATTCAGTAAGGGCTCAGTAGATGATAGTGAATCTGGGCATGCTGCAGTCATTGATCTGTGTAGTTAGTTATACCTGGGTTGAGACTKGGAACCTAAACATTATTTGCTGGAAGAGAAGATGATTGATCCCTAAAGTAGAGTGGTTTGTGCATTAGACAAAAAGGAGGCATTCACATTTCACCCTTGTGTGGCCCTGAAAAGAGACAAAGAATGGGTGTGTGTGTGGCAGGGGGGATTCTTACCACTGATGTCCACTGCTATTCCTATTCTGAAATTTCTGGATTCTAATATAATTTTATTGGTGTAAGAGAAAATAGTTAATTCCCAAACCAAAAAAAAAAAAAAAAGGGTGGATTGATCTTCCTTAAGAACCTTTCAATGGGTTAGAAGATTATCTCTCGTAGTCATTTGGTCTGTTTTCAAAATTGTAGAACTGTTCACTGGACTCATGTGTAAAATCTGTCACATCTGTTCTCTACAGTTTGCCAAAACATACAGTCAAAAGTACACACTGTCCTAGAAAATATAGCCAGAGATTCAGCTCACATCAAACTCCAGTGCCGTAACTCCAGATGGGATGTTAACCACAAACGAGGCTACTCCATCATTGAGACCTGTGATGCTTTTCTGTGATTCCAAGCCGACCTTCTCTTGGTTTTCATTGATGGTTTGTGCATTCAGGGTTACAGGGACCCCGCCTACCGACTGGTCCAGAGAATCCTTAACCTGCACCTGTTTGTTAGAACAATTCCATCCATGTCAACAGCTTATCATGTCTTTGAAAGCTCAACAAGTCTGACATTTTCCTTCCTCTCCATCAGTGCAAAAATTCATTATGGTTGTTAATTCAGTAAGATTGTGTTCTTGACATAAAGAAATGTTAAATTCTATTTAGTTTAATCATCTTGAATGGATTCCCCCACATATCAACCTGACTCAGAACACAGACATCATTTCATTATGGCAACAAAGATGTGACAAGATCTATGTGACCCACCTTCTGCATTTCTTTAATTATATTAGGACTGAATAATGGAGAAAATGAAGCAATGGCTTCTGGAAACAATATTTTTGTGTATGAGAAACAATAAATGGATACATTTCTTTCTTATCTTCTAATTCTCACACACATATCTATGATTATATATGATATATACATATATACACACACACACACACACATATATATATGTGATTTCACTAAGGATATCTTTGTTTTATTTTTATATGTTACATAAATATATATTAAATCTCATAATATTTCATATTTTATATGTTACATATCACTGTATGTTATGTGTATATACATACTCATATTGTGTAGTTATCTAAGAAGCTATAAGCACATCTAATGCATTCTTTGAGTTTGGTCAATCTTGCTCTCTTAAAATTCAGTGGCCTACTGTAAATAAGTTGTAAGTGATGAATTTTAAATATAGTTGTTCCTCTGTATCCAAGACACATTGGTTCTAGGAGGATGTTCAAGGTTCCTATAAAATTCTGGCAGAGTAGATTTATACTTTAAGTCATCTCTAGATTCCTTATAATATCTAGTATAATTGAAACCTCATGTAAATAGTTGTCATGCTGAATTGTGTAGGGAATTATAATAAGGAAAAAAGTCTATGCAGTTCAATCTGCAGGTGGAATCCACACATACAGACACCAATGACATGGAGGGCTGACTGGATACCCAAGGATTTTATTAACAGTAAAAGGTTTTCAAAGAAAGAATTAAAACATTGTGCTCCAGGCTTTCTAAATTAAAGGCAAAATAAAAATTTCCATTTAATAATTATAATACATAACATTATTTTAATAATATCTTTAACAATATTAAATATAATAAAAAATTAAAAGGATGCTTTGACTCCATACTATCAGCATTTAATAAAGGAAGAGTAGAGGAAAAAGAGAAAATTTAAGACAAAGAAGGGAGCAAAAAAGACAGAAGAAATAGAGTCAGAGACAAAAAGTGTCAAAATAGGAAGGACAGAGCGCAACAGAGAGAAAGGAGAGCCCAGACAGGGTTGTGCACAGAGATGGCGGAAAAAGAAAAGCCCACAGAAAGGCACTCAGACACAGCAGAAACAAATGATGAGAGAAAGGGGTCTATTTTCAAAGAATGACCTCTTCAGCTTAAGGCTCTTTAAGAAATAAAGATATATTATGTAGTTATGTAAGAAGCTATAAGTACATCCAGTGCATTATTTGAGTTTGGTCAATCTTGCTCTCTTAAAATTCAGTGGCCCACTGTAAATAATAAATATTGTCACCAAATAATTTTAAATATTAGTATTTTTCCATTCTTTTCATTGGTGCATTGTAGTTGTATAAATGTTAAGTGTTTTTGAATTTTGGATTGACAGTTTTATTTACACTAATGTAATGCAGTGTTTATTGAGGAGATGCATAATGCAAGCCTGGCTTACTAAATAATGGCATGACCCTAAATGTCAATCACCCACAAGGCTGCACTGGTCTGCAATGTGCCACACCTGTGCCCACAGGAGGGGTTGACCTGACAAGGAGTCCCTCTGTGATTTGCCTCTCCAGCTCCCTTCTCTTTCCTACCTCCATACACAGAAAAAGACAAGCATATTCAGCAGGTTCTCCCCAGCCCCACTTACCTTGATAAAATATGGAATCCCAGGCTTCAAGAAAGGAGAAGTAGTAATCAAGTTCAGTTTGTAGGGAGAGAGAACATATTTGATGCCAGGTACTTCTGCCTCTTCAAAAAACCCACCTAAAGAAATGGCAAGCGTGGTATTAGCATATTTGAAGTCTAATGATATGTATGGGTATCTGCATTGTCTCCAGGATTCCACAGACTCACTCTTTCTCTCACTCCCTTCCTGCACAGATGGTATCTAAAAGGGCATTAGGAAGCATTAGGTTCAACCCCCTTACTGTACAGATAAGGAGTCCAGAACGTGGAAACAGGAATAACTCACATACATAGGCATTGCATCACATAATCTCACACATAATCTCATGTTGATTTTGATTCTCACCAGGAGAAAACACTGGAGTACCCGATATTCAAGCTATATGGCCTGCAGAGCCATTTTGGATATCAGCCGGGCAGTATTATCCTATTTCAGCTATTGAGATCCTAGAGTCCCAGTGGCTTGCCAGTTACTACAGAGTGGTAGAGCTCTTCTCTAATCCCAGCCTTCAGTGAAATAAAAAGTAATACATAAAATTTAACTATAAATGAAAGTAAAATGTAAAGGAGCCCTAGAAATCATTTCTACCACTTTTATGCTCTCTAAATACTTCCTAAGTTACACACACACACACACACACACACACACACACACACACACACTTACCTGTAGACTCTTTGACTGTTACAGCAATATAAAGGTATTTGTTGTTTAACTCTTCCAGACTGTGATATGACAGCTCTTTTACTGCTGTTTCAGAATCAAACATGACACGGGCAGTTCCATTTATCAACTTTTTAAGAAGGGAAAATATAAGTCATTTTACATAACTTACAAGGAAAATTTAAYAATCTGTATTAACTAGCCTTAAATTGAAGGCAAATGTTGGATGACTGTTTTGGCATTGTCAGTAAAATAGATGACTGGGGCCACAGTTAGGTCCAGCAGTTGCTTCCTGCTTCATCTGTGTGGAGCTACAGATATGGAGGAGGCTGGAAGGTGACAGGGAACATTAGGCCTTTTGGGTACTAGAAACACAGATGCTTCTTCCAACCTCTGAGTCCTAATCTACCTTCAGAGGCCTCTCATGCTGCTTCTGCCATTAGCCAAAAGTTTGCTGAATTTATATTTAATTTGTACTTGGCTACTTATAATTTTAAACACTAACTATAAAACACATCACAAAGTAAGGGGTATCAGGTGAAGCCATGTCATATTTATTACTTTGTCTTATTTTTTATTCTAAAATACTTTGACTTGAAGCTGGGCATTTTCATATGGTTTAGCTTTATTTACTTTATCTTTTTTTTTTTTAAGGATGCTAAGGATTGGACCCAGGGCCTCATACATACTAAGAACTTAGTCTATGACTCAGCTACACACCTGCCCTGATTTAGCTTTAAATCTCAGCATCAAGGGTAGAATTTTGCATTTTAAAGACATTAAACTTATATTCTAAATACATAAGGATTTTTAAAAAGCAGAGAATAAATAATTGATGAAAAATACATGAGTATGCAAAAGTAAGGTAAAATGACATAAACTCTTATCACCCATGGTATAATGTAAACAACACTGAAGAGAGGAAAAGGGGCCAGGGCTCTAATCTCAGTTCTAACAATCACTAGCTCTTAACCATGAACAAATAGCCTCCCAAATACTTATAGAAATCTACGCTTTGCAAGGAGATAAGTTGTCTCTGGCCACATGGTGGGAATGATTTGGACCTGCAAAGAGTTTAATGTTGAAAATGAGATAAATAAATAAGCCATTATGAAAAGAAGGAATAGTCCCCCTTGATATTGACATTTTGGAAAGGAAAATTTTTGATGTTTGGGGAAGGAAGGGAGAAATGGAACAAGATCAGCTGATAAGAGGATGATGCCCTGGTCTTTATCTCAAGGGCAACCAGAAGCCAATGGAGGGTATTAAGCTTCAGCTTCCACACTTATGAAGAAGAACGAGGGATTGGACCAGAGGGTTCTGAAATAMCTCACAGCTCTCACGTCATCCTTAGGTATGAGCGAACACATCTTAGCATCTCACCTTGGTGTTTTGCATTGCTTTTGGCATCATTTCCTTTTGATCATCTTTTACGTCTTCTTTTATTCCAAAAGTGACATAAACTTCAGCCTCAGTAACTGTTTTATTGTAGAAATATCTATCAAACAATACCATAAAATAGTTTTGCCCAAACACTTACAAGAGTCAGATAAAAAGTAGCAATTTGAAATCACATAAAGCACTTGATACACTTCCATCCACTGTTACATTTCATAAAGCCACAGTAAGAAATCTAGAGTAAGGATTTTTATTACTAAGAGAGAAATGATAGAGCTGATCTTGGGGAGATGAAGACATTCAGCTTCAGGCCCTTCTTCCAGCCCACGTTACTTCCTGGATGATCTTGACATCAGTGGGGAGCAACTCCTTGTTTCATGTGTGTTTCTTTAAAAGTAGCATGCCTGATATTCCTGTTAGTTAAAACTTCTTTAAAAAAAAAAAAACCCAGCATATTCCTTTTTAATTTAGATCTAAGTAATACAGTGAATTTTCTGCATCTCAAATAATACTACAGCAAGAGCTAACTTTCCTCATTCATGGTTTGAAAACACTGCCTCCATTACAAGAGCTTAGTTTCTATAATTTTCTCTCAAGTGTGTCATTTACAGGGGTATAGACTAAATGACACTATTTCAGATAAGAGTATATGCTTACAAAAGAAGCAGTATGGGGTAGTGTTGGAGGGCACAGACTCCAGAACCAACAAGCTGTGCAACTTACTAGCTGTGTGATTGTGTGCAACTTATCTAGCATTTATCCACCTCAATTTTGTACTTGTGCTATGGAGAGTTGTTGGAAAATTAAATGTACTGATATACGGAGTTCTCAGAAAACCACTTTGCCCAGGTAGCTATATAAATTGGTTATTAACGACTACATTATATTGACATTTCTAAATGACCTTGGCTCTTGTGATAGCTTGCTACAACACTAACCCCAATTCTCTCCCTCTCCCTGGATCCACAACRTTGGCAGCCCTTGCCTGCAGAAGGCGTGGGAGGAGCCTACTTCCTCTGGGCTGGCCTTGTAACTTGCTTTGGACAAAAGAATATGGTGGAAGTAAGAGTGTGCCAGTACCAAGCATAGGCCTCCAGAGAACTTTTCTGATTGCATTTCTGTCAGAGCACTGCTRCTGCTGAAGGCTAGCCTACTGGGTAGGATACCTGTATGTTCCAAGCACTCTTAGCCCCCACCCCTGCCGCTATTGACAGACATGTGAATAAGACCTACCTGTACTTGCCACCCAACCCCCAAGATGACCTGTGTACTGAGTGGAGCACACTTGGTTATTAACAACTACATTATATTGTAGGGTGAGCCTAGCTGACATCAGCCTGGCCCAGGTCAGCAGAACTGCCCAGCTGACTTGTAAACAGTGGTGGTTTCAAGGCATTGGGTTTTTAAAGTTATGGAGCTTTTGCTGGCTGAGTAAGCCACTAAAAATGACAAGAAGTGAAGGATTCATATTTCAGCCCAGATATGCTAAGTCATCCTGGCTTCTAAATAAATACATAGAGTTTAAATATTTAGGACCTTTTCMTTTTTTCTTTATTTCTTCTTCTTCCCCTGCCACCCACTGATGAATAACCAACAAAACTAAAATCAGAATCAGCTAAAATCAGAATAAGCAAATAAACTATGAGCACAATGTTTCCTAGTTTAGCTGGGTAATAAAAAAAAACCCACAAAACTTTCTTACCTTGCTTTTATAGTAATTTCAAAATTCTTAAAGTTCTTGTAACCAATGAAATTGCCTTCTGGTTCTATTGATACAGAAAAATTTGGTAAGACTGAAAATAGAAAGGAGGAGGAATATTACCAGGTGAATTAGGCCTTGAAAACACAGCAAAGGGCTCTCCTTGCTGGTACCTGGGCAGGCTGCACCATCA